TTTTTTTTGTTGTTGCTGTTGTTCAGTTGTATGAGTTCTTTGTATATTTTGGATATTAACCCCTCACTGGAAGTATCATTTGCAAATATCTTCTCCTGTTCGGTTGGTTGCCCCTTTGTTTTGTTGATGGTTTCTTTTGCTTTGCACAAGCTTTTGAGCTTGATGGAGTCCCATTCATTTATTTTTGCTTTTGTTTTCATTGCCTTTGGAGTCAAGTTCAAAAAACCCTCTGACACCCAGAATCATAAGCTTAGAGCCTATGTTTTCTTCTGTTATTGTATGGTTTCAGGTTTTCCATTCAAGTCTAATCCACTTGAGTTCACTTTTATGGGTGGCATCAGAGAGCAGCCTTGTTTCATACTTGTGGCTGTCCATTTTCCCAACATTATTTATTGAAGAGGGGACAGTTGGGACCCAGATAATGCTGAAACCTACAGCAATGCCAAGCCAGGATGTAAATCAGCACAGAGCATGCTGCGTAGCCAGGGTGATTGCTCTGGGCCACTGTTGGGCATAGGGGTCTCCATTTTGGGGTTGAGACTACAGATTTCCAAGCCCTGTCCCAGAGATTGGGTTCAGCAGGTCTGCAGTGGCACCCAGGGCGTCTGTCAGAGCAGGCTTGGTCCTGCTGCCCTAGGACCCTGCACCGTAACCATGAAAAGTTACCCCGAAATCTCAAAGCCTGTTCTCTCCCTCACTTTGATTTAATGCCATGGGGCTGGCAGTGCCCTGCTTATCATCAGTTTTCAGAGCCCTGAGCTGCTGGTCATTGAGGCAAAGAGAACCTCGTGTGACACAGGATGCCTCCGCTCACAGTTCATTGCCCCATCTGTCACCAGGTCCCACCAGTCATAGGGGCCAGGCCACATTAGCCTGCCAAGTGCTCAGAATGAAGGAAAATGTGACTTACTTGGTGAAAAGTACAAATAACCACCAGAGTCAGCTCCTTGCTAATATCTATACGCACTGAGGATATTGGTGTGTAGTTTCCTTTCTTATGTCTTTTTTTTTTCTGTTTTCATAGGACAAGTACAGATGTATACTTGCCTCTTCAGTTTTTTGGAAGAGGTGTTATAGAATTGCTACTACTTTACCCTTAAATGTTTATAAGGGCATTTAAAGGCCTGGATTTGTTTCCTTCCTCCCTCCCTCTCTTCTTTCCTTCCTTCCTTCCTTCCTTCCTTCCTTCCTTCCTTCCTTCCTTCCTTCTTTTTCTGTGTGTATGTGGGGGAAAGTTTTTAACTAGAATGATTAAAATTCCTTAATAGATACAGGCCTGGCTATTAAGGTTATCTTTTTCTTCTTGAGTGATTACTGGTGATTTACATGTTTTAAGGAATTTGTCTATTGTATCTCAGTTGTGCAAAGACTTATTCTAAAGTTGTTCATAACATTCTTTCATTATTATTTTTTAGTATTTGTTAAGGTATTTTACTTATTACTACCTTTTATTGTGACACAATTGGTTTCAAGATTACATATATTTCATTATAATTCTATATTTGCACTTACTACATAGTACCCACCACTGTAAGTCTAGTTACCACACATCACCATCCAGTTGGTCCCCTAATTGAATTCCACAGTGGTCAGAGAATAACTTTTGTAAAACTTGAATTCTTTTAAATTTATCAAAACCTGTTTTGTGGCTAGAATGTGGTCCAATCTTGTAAATGTTCAGGGTGCACCAGTAAAGAATATCCTGCTGTTGTTGGATGGGGTTATGTCTATATGGTCAGTTAGGTCAAGTTGGCTGATAATGTTTTTCAAGTCTAATATATTCTTGCTGATTTTCTGTTTACTTGTTCTATCAAACACTGAGAGATCGATATAGAAATCTCTAATTATTATTGTGGATTAGTCTATTTCTCTTTGGAATTCTATGATTTTTGCTTTATACATTTCAAAATTCTATTATTAGGGTGCATAAACATTTAGGGTTGTTATATCCTATTGAAGATATATCATTAGGAAATGACCTTCCTTATTTATAGCCATATTCTTGCTCTGAAATCTATTTTGTTGTTAATGTAGCAGTTCCCACTTTTTCTTGACTAGTATTAGTGTGGTCTACCTTTTCCATCCTTTTACTTTTAACATATTCATTTCTTTATATTTAAATTGAATTTCTTGCAAATAGTTTATAGTTGGGTCTTGTTTTTTTATCCAATCTGATAATCTTTGCCTTTTAATTGGTGTGTTTAGATAATTCATATTTAATGTGATTTGTGATATGGTTGAATTTAAGTGTATTATGTTGTTGCTTTCTTTTTGTGCCTTCTTTTCTTTGCATTCTCTTTCCCCTCATTGTATGCATAGTTTTGAATTGAATATTTCAAACTATTCCAATTTATTTCCTCTCTCTGCCATAACATTTTTAGCTCTAATTGTATTTTATGATTTTAGTATAATTATGCCACAACTTCAAGCGATGTTATACCACTTAACGTAAAGTATAAGAACCTTATAATAGTATAATTCCACAAGTATAATTTCATGATTTATGGCCTGGGCATCTTCCCCTGAGACTCCTAACTTGGAACTTCTCCCAAGTGGTGTTTTGTGCTTAGCTTTTCAGAAGGCGAGTTCATTCATTTTTCTCCCCCTCCTGCTCTTTCTTTTTATTTTATCATAATATCATAGTGGTTTTTTGGGGGAGATTCAACATTGTGGTGTTTTTTTTAGTCTGAAATACAAATCAAAATATATTTTTGTTAATACCATGTTAATAAGCTTGACATTCTTTTCAATATAGAATGACTTGATGTAGGTACTGAAAACTTCTTTTTTAAAAACAATACATTTTATGTTGGAGGGAAATAGCTCATTAAAAAGATGCATGGTACATGGGCTATTAGATTTCATTATTTTATTTTACTTTAGTGTTTATGAATGCCAAACTTGGGAAGCATTCCCATCAAGTTAATTTGGTCTGCTAAAATATGTAAGTATTCCTCATATAACAAAAATAAATTAAACTATAATGTTGAAAAAACAGAAATATTTGGCTTAGGCCTCTGAGAGCGCTTGAAAAATGACTTAGGATATGTTTCAACTGTATAGAGGAACATTCTAGAATCCACCTGGAAACCTTGTTTATTGAGGTGTGAGACTTTCTAGAAGGAAGTTATGGATCTGATTCTCTGAAGAGACTTTTGAATTATACCCAAGTTTCTTTTTGTAAACTACAAAGTATCAATTTGTACCTAATTAAAACACATCACTCACTCACCTTGTTTGACCCCTTAGAGAAAACCATGTGTTAGCCAGGATGGCTTCAGTGTCCCTGTGTGCTAGCAGTTGTGTCTTTCCTGAGGCTGACCATGCTCAGCCTGCGTCTCTTCGCCCAGCTCATTGTTGCCGCTCAGTGTTTGCAGTAGGTCTGCCACCTGGTGGGTGCTCGCCACTTGTGCACGGAATAGAGGGGCTGAAAAGGTGGCGCTTTCCTTGTCACATACAAGCTGCGACACAGGCATGGATAATCACCCCACCTCCCCTCTGCCCCGAGCCATTGTCAAATGCCAGACCTGCCTGAGAATGTTCAGTCTTTGAATTTCATCTTGAATTCCTGTGCTTGGTGTGGTGCAGTGGACATAACAGGTGATTGGTGAAAATACTGTGCCTCTTTGTATCCTTTCAGTGGATAGTTTGAGGGATTTATGTGGCGCCTTTAATGGTACAATAGAGCTTACATGGAAACTTCCATAAAATGTTTTAGTATTTTAGAAGCCAATGAATTGGCCAATCATTTCTCTCTACTCTTCTATATCAGAAGGTGCCTGAATTTGCTGATGGGTGAAAATTGGCCTCATCCTGTTAATTTCAGCATTTCCTAAGGTTGTCTGCATCCCTCTCACCCATGGCCTTTCCTAGACAGGAACTCAGCTCAGGGGCCTGATCGGGAGCAAGGGCCGTCCCCACGTCCTGCTCTTACCACATGCCCTCCTGAGGAGCCCCAGGTGTGGCCCACTGAGAACTGCACTGTGTTTCTGAAATTGCTCAAAGGTTGGGTAGTGTCTGGGTTTGGCTGAAAGCATGACCGGAACTGTTGGCTTTAGGGAGTAACTTTCTGGGAGGGAGAGGGTATTGGGTGCTGGCTCTGATATGTCTATTCCAGAATTGATTCTTTGCCCAGGGAAGTGAAATTGCATGACTTCGCATCCGTGTGACTTTGAACAGTCAGCTCTGTCTCCTGGTTCCGTTACGATGACACAGACACTCCGCAGCCCCTGCTGTGGTTTGACCCTTGGTTATCTGTGCGTTTGCGGCTGTGCTTCCCGTCCTTGGAAGGCGGTGGGGTTGTGGGTGTCTGCTGATGCTCTTGTCCCTCAGAACTGAAGCACGAGATACATGTGTGGCGCCTGACTGCCCAGCGCATCAGCCCCGCCAGCCGCGAGGAGACGGCAGTACGCGGCCTGCTCCTGGGGAAGGTGCTGGAGCTGCAGCAGCTGCTGGCCCGCCGGCTGCACACCTTCCACAGGTACCCACATGGCACTCTCCCCTGCTGCCCCCTAGTGCCAACACGAGCCATGTACAGATCAAGTTAGGTCACATGAGTGTTCTTCAGAGCATGCCCTGCCACCATGATGCAGTGACAGGAGCTGCATGCTAATGAGTACATTTGGGTGCCAGACGCTGTGCTAAGCCTCTCACGGGCACTGTTTTGGGTCACCTTCCCTTGGCTGTGTGGTGTGCTGATAGCAGCCCTGATGAGAAGGGTGAGAAGACAGGACAGTGTTCCCCCGACGTTTCCTGTGCTCCCTCATACTTTACCAGACGTTTCATCAGCTCATGTGTTGGTTTTCTTTGGAAACACAGAGCAAGCATCCTTCCCAACCAGTCCACCCAGCTCCCCAGCCACCTGCCACAACCAGGCAAGTCCCATCTCACGGCCACACCAGGCGTCCCCTAGTGGGCACTCTGCCGACACCCGCACTGACCTGACGGCTTGACGCCACCAGAAAGACAAGTCTGCCCTTTTTTTATTTCAGACAGATCTCACAGGAAGACAAGAACTGGGAGACCAACATCCAGGAGCTGGAGAGGAAGGTACGTATTGTGGCCTCTTTTCTCAGGGTTTCTGACTTGCCTCTCAGGACTTTCCTTTGTGCCACTGAAGCTGTGACGGAAACCCTTCTCTCCTGTTATTCCTGTAGCTGTAAGTTATTTCCAGGAGTTCATGGGAAAAACACTTTTCAACATGGTGGCTCGTTTTGTCCACAAATCGAAAGGTTATACATCATATTCCTTTTAAGATAGGTTGGTACTTCCTGTTGCTAATGTGGGTGCCTATGGCTCCCAGTGCCTGAAAAGAAGGTCCGTGGCTTTCATTTTTTGGACTACAGCTTTAGGGACAGACATGGGGTGGGGGTGTCCTATTTACTGACTTCTGGAGTGACAGCTCATTTTGAGTGATTTCACTCATCTTCCCACGTCCATAGATGTCCTCAACCCACCTGAGGACAAATAGTGCCCCTCCCCTGGCCAAGAGGAGCTTGCTCAGAATCTGTGAGGACTCATTTGGGTTTTTGTGAAGTTTAAATCCGTGCAGTTTCTTTCCTAGAGAGAGGCTGAAGACCTGCTCTCTAATTATGATGAGACCATTTGGTCCCTGGCTGAACGGAACTTCAGCGTTGGAGTCCTGGCGGGTAGTGTGTTCTTGGGGGGGTTGGGCTGTGGTACCTGTTCCCAAGCTCTGTCCCTTTGGATGCTCAGGGTTAGAGAAGAAGAGTGTGGCTGTGATACTTTCTGGGCCCCAGGCTTACACAGACCCTGCCCGCCTTGCTAGACTGTTGCTCTGGCTGTGAGGTAGGGAAGAGACCCTGAATTTGGTGGACAAGGATGGGGAGAGGTGCGAGGAGCTTGGCAGTGTCTTGGGTTGCCACTAAGAGTCTTACCTGTCTACATGTGTCTAATTCTAACACTAGACAGACATAGACAGATGTGTCGGTGGGACCCCACTTGGGAGAGGACACACAAGGTTGCCAGTTCACACTGTGGAGCAGGACCCCACAGGAGTCTGGGGGCAGGACGACCTGGTGCCCATCGACATATGTGTGTGGACTACGTTCTCCGCCCAGTCTGTACAGCCATGGCCCTCGGAGCACAGCACCCTCAGGGGCCCTCGCTCTGTCTTTCTCTGTGGTGCAGGTCCACAGTCCACACACACAGCACTGTGTCTTCCGGCTCCTCCTCCCCTCACCGAGGACCAGGACAGGCTCCCGTGGTGTCATCCCATCAGGGGAGTGCTAAGTGCCTCCCGGGGTCCCCACAGTCCCCATGAGAGGTACATGAAGGAACCCAGGATACATGATATTGCAAGAACGTGTCAACCTCAGCACCATTGTGAGCTAGGATTTGCACATGGGAGGCAAAGTGGGAGCAAAAGGCGATGAGCACACAGCACCTGTGGAAATGCACATGTCTTCAAACTCAGGTCCCTGGGTTACATGTCATCTCCCAGTGGCTCTGCTGGCATGTCACCTGATGCTGGTAGTGGGGCTGGGAACAGCCTAACACTGTCATATTGAAGAGGTATTTAGCCAGGTGTTAATAAAAGGATTGCACCGCATAGTGAATTTAGTGTTTATTTTTCATAAGGATTTTGGGTGCTCTACTCTCAAATCTGTAGGGTTTTCCTAGTAACACATTTCCTTATTACCTCCTTTCAAGTTCAAGTAGTTCTATTTTTCACCATAAAGAGAAATCTGTAGTGATTCAGGTCACGCAGGATGGAGGACACGTGGCAGGAATGAGAAGGTTGTTTTCCTCTCTCACAGCACAGGATATCGGACCGGATCCTGCTTGCCAAATGCCTCACGGTGCTGGGGTTTGTTATCTTCATGTTCTTTCTCAATTCATTTTTTCCTGGAATTCACCTGGATCTAGGTGAGTCTCACTGCTGCTGGGCTCTGTTGCTGGGCTTTGCACTTGACACCACAGGCAGGAAGGGAAGGTTTCAAAGCTTGTTCCCCCACACTGGGGAGGGGTCAGTGAGGGCAGGGGTGCAGGAAAAGGGGTGTCTTTCTGCACTACCCCCTGTTTTTTTTTTCTGGGGGAAGGGGAGGGGAGGAGAGAGGAGGGGCAGAGGGAGGGATGCATTTCCAGCCCTTGCAGTGTAAGCCCCTCCAGGGTTTAACATCAGAAGGGACATGGAATAGAATAGATATTATCATCTCTGTCGATAACCACATCTTTAAACTGTTCCCTGAGAAGCACTCCCAGAAGAGACAGGAAGTGACATCAGCAGAGCCACAATCCTGAGTCTGTGCAACTCAACCTGCCTATTAGACGACAGACTGTGAAAGGGCTGCAGAATTACAAGAGGTCCACACAGTCCCCTCTCCTTATCTGAGGGTGCCCCAGTCTCCCCGCCAGCAGAACCCCCTCCTCCCATCTCCTCCCCTCAGTTTCTGGTCTCTTGCTTTCACTACTGCGTTCTCATTGCCCACTGTCACAAACCCTGTGTTTAAGTCGCAGTGTAAGAATTTACTGCCTATGTTTTCTTTTAGGAGTTTTATGGTTTTAGGTCCTACATTTCATTTAAGTCTTTAATCCATTTTGAGTTTATTTTTGTATGTGGTATAAGAATTGGTCCAGTTTCATTGTTTTGCATGTATCTGTCCAGTTTTCCCAACACCATTTACTGAATAGACTGTCTTTGTCCCATTGCATATTCTTGCTTCCTTTGTCGTAGATTAAGTGACCATATAGGGGTGGGTTTATTCTGGCTTGTCTATTCTGTTCACTGATCTATATGTCTGTTTTTTTTTGCCAATACCATGCTGTTTTGATTACTATAGCCTTGTGGTATAATTTGGTATCAGGTTGTGTGATACCTCCATCTTTGTTCTTCTTTCTCAGGATTGCTTTGGCTGTTCGGGTTTTTTTATGGTTTCATATAAATTTTAGGATTACTTGTTCTAGTTCTGTGAAAAATGCCATTGGTATTTTGATAGGGATTGAATTGAATCTGTATATTGCTTTGGGTAGTATGGTCATTTTAGCCATAATTCTTCCTATCCATGAGCATGGTCTATGCATCCATTTATTTCTATCTTGTTCAATTTATTTCTTCAGTGTTTTATAATTTTCCAAGTACAGGTCTTATACCTCCTTGGTTAAATTTATTCCTAGGTATTTTATTTCCTGATGTAAATGGGATTATTTTCTTAATTTCTTTTTCTGATAGTTCATTATTGGTATATAAAAATGTAACTGATTTCTGAATACTAATTTTGTATCCTGCTACTTTACTGAATTTATTTATCAGCTCTGATAGTTTTTATGTGGAATCCTTAAGGTTTTCTCTATATAGTATCATGTCATCTGCAAATAATAACAGGTTTTACTTCTTTCTTTCCAGTTTGGATGCTTTTATTTCTTTTTCTTGTCTGACTGCTGTGGCTAGGACTTCTAATACTATGTTGAATAAAAGTGGTGAAAGTGGACATCCTGTCTTGTTTCTGATCTTAAGGAGAGCGCTTTTAGCTTTTCACCTTTGAGTATGATGTTAGCTGTAGGTTTATCATACACAGGGGGTGCCCAAAAAAATGTGTACACATTTTAAGAAAGGAAAACTGTATTAAAATTGTAATACTTAATATATAGCAATAACAAAAGATGAATACACGTCACGTTTGACTTCTGCAATTACGAGAGGTGCTCAAAGTGGTTCCCATCAGCTTGCAGGCACTTCTGATTATGGCGAACTACTGCTTGAGCAACATTGACCAGAGTGTCCCCTTGTATACATTTTTGTGGCACCCTGGTATGGCCTCTATTCTATCAAGGTTCCCTCTATTCTCACTTTGCTGAGGGTTTTTATCATTAGTGGATGCTGGATTTTGTCAAACACTTTTTCTGCATCTATTTGATAGGATCATATGATTTTTATCCTTATTTTGTTTATGTGATGTATCATGTTAATTGATTTGTGGATATTGAACCATCCAGAATAAATACCACTTGATTGTGGTGTATGATCTTTTTAATGTATTGCTTAATTCTGTTTGCTAATATTTTGTTGAGGATTTCTACATCTATGTTCATCAGGGATACTGACCTATGATTTTCTTTTTTTGTAATGTCTTTGTCTATTCTTGGAGTCAGGGTAGTGGTGGCTTCATAAAATGAACTTGGAAGGCTTCCATCCTCTTGAATTTTTTGAAAGTGTTTGAGAAGGCCAGGTGTTTATTCTTCTTTGAATGTTTGGTAAAATTCACCTGTGAAACCATCTGGTCCAGGATTTTTGTTTGTTGGGATTTTTTTTTTAATTACTGATTTGATTTAATTGGTAGCAATTGGTCAGTGTAGATTTTCTGTTTCTTTTTGATTAAGTCTTGGAAGACTATGTTTCTAGGAATTAATACATTTCTTTTTGATTGTCCAATTTGTTGGCATATAATTGTTCATAGTATTTTCTAACAATACTTTTTATTTCTATGGTGTCACTTGTCACTCCTTTTTCATTTCTCATTTTATTTGGGTCCTCTTTCTTTTTTTCTTGATGAGTTTGGTTAAAGGTTTATCAATTTTATTTATCTTTTCAAAGAACCAGTTCTTGGTTTTGTTGATCTTTTGTATTTTTTTTTACTCTATTTTGTTTATTTCTGCTCTGATCTTTTTTTTTTTTTTAGATTTTTGTTTTAATTGGGGAATTGGGGAAGGGAACAGTGTTGGGGAGTTGGGGAAGGGGAACATTGGGTTTTTCCAGGACCCATCAGCTCCAAGTCAAGTTGTTGTCTTTCAATCTTAGTTGTGGAGGTCGCAGCTCAGCTCCAAGTCCAGTTGCTACTTTCAATCTAGTTGCGGGTGGGCATAGCCCACCATCCTGTGTGGGAGTCGAACTGGCAACCTTGATGCTAAGAGCACGCGCTCTCACCAGCTCAGAGGCAGCTCAGCTCAGGCACAGCTCACTGGCCCATGTGGGAATTGAACCAGCGACCCTGTTGCTCAGAGCTCACACTCTAACCAACTGTGCCAACCGGCTGGCCCTCTGCTCTGATCTTTAGCTTAACCTTCCTTCTACTCACTTTGGGCTTTGTTTGCTGTTCTTTTTCTAGTTCTTTTAGGTAAGGTTAGATTGTTTATTTGAGATTTTTGCTTGTTTCTCTCGGTAGGCTTACATTGCTATAAATTTCCCTCTTAGAACTGCTTTTACTGTGTCCCATAGATTTGGGGCATTGTGTTTTCATTTTTGTTTGTCTCAAGGTCCCTTTTGATTTCTTCCTTGATCTCATTGTTGACTATTCATTATTTAGTAGCATGGTATTCAGCCTCCATGTGTTAGTGTGTTTTTCAGGGGTTTTTTTTTTTTGTAATTGATTTCAAGTTTCTTGTCATTGTGGTTGGAGAAGACACTTGACATGATTTCAGTCTTCTTAAATTTATTGAAACTTGTTTTGTAGCCTAACATGTGGTCTGTCTTGGAAAATGTTTCTTGTGCACTTCAAATGAATATGTATTCTGCCGCTTTGGGGTGAAATGCTCTAAAAATATCAATTAAATCCATTTGGTCTAACGTATCATTTAAGACTGCTGTTATGCTGTTGATTTTCTGTATGCAAGATCTGTTCATTGGTGTCACTGGGATGTTGAAGTTCATTATCTTGCCTGTAGTGTTGGTGTCATGTGGGTATACACTAAAATATAAGTTGTACATTTTAAATACGTTCAGTTTGTAGAATGAGTTATCCTCAATAAAGAAAAAAGCAACCAGAAGAAGAAAAACTAATTAGTGTGTTAACAATTGAACTATATCTGTATGTGCATTTATATATTTCCCAGGGTGGATTGCTATTCTGGGTGCCATCTGGTTGCTAATTTTAGCTGATATCCATGATTTCGAGATAATTCTACACCGAGTAGAATGGGCAACACTTCTGTTCTTTGCAGCACTCTTTGTTCTGATGGAGGTAAGACTTTAGAATTTTTCAATGTGATCTTTTAGCTAGTTTTTATATTTCATGTTTTATTTAGTGAATGAAGAAAGTGTTTTTTTTCTTTTTTAAAGAAAATTTTGTTGGGGAAGAGTGTGTTTTTCCAGGACCCAGCAGCTCCAAGCCAAGTAGTTGTTTCACTCTAGTTGTAGAGGATGCAGCTCAGTGGCCCATGTGGGAATCGAACCGGCAACTTTGGTGTTATGAGCACTGCACTCTAACCACCTGAGCTAACTGGCCATCCCAAGAAAGTGTTTTTTCACATATTCACTGAGTGGAAAATGATGGAGGTTGTACTTAGACTATTTTAAGTTAAACCAGCTTTTATCTCAGCCACCTAACTATTTCTGATAAAATTGTTTACTTGGCTGCTGTTGCTTTTTTCTTGAGTTATCTTTGGGGTTTGTGAACTTGTTCTAAATTCATTTGCTATAAAATACAATTTGCTCTATGTTGGGTTTGGAGCAAAATGACTTGTTACAGCAAGTTTACAGGGTAATATTATCTTGACAACCAACTTAATTTTGTGTAATACTTAACTAAATATTCTATATTTTCATGGAAAATTCTACCTCAGAGAAACAAGTGAATAATACGTATTGTTTTAGTTGTAGTTGTTACAAAATTATTCACGGTACTTTTTAATCTTGAGATTTGATTTATGAACTTGTGTTCTCAAATACCAAGTTTTACTGATGTAGGAAAACACTGCTCCCCACCGGAGCTCCTCATGCACGTTAAATGTCTCACATTAATTGCCTTAACTTGCTGGTGACAGACCATTTGTTTTTAATTCCTCTCTGGGTTAAAACCTTGACGCTATTTTTTTCTAATTGTTTTTAAGACAGGTCCTTTGAATCTTTCAAACCTATGTCTTCACTCACAATGGAGTGTGTAGCTGTAACCAAGTGACTCGTGTGGGCTCTCCCAGTCTGTCAGGGAGTCTTGAGTTCTATTCTGTGTTCTCAGTTCCCTACTCAGGAACGTCACCTCTCCTTTCCCAACTGAATGCAGAGAATGCAAAGGGGAACATTCTGGTTACTGCTTACATGACTGGCTTTTGAAAGTCTCTGCCCTAGTTACGTTTACTCCAGCTATAATCTGCTGTGTCATCTGGGGTTTTGGCATATTTTCCTCAATTTTATACTTCACTTTGGGTTGATAGGGGGAGGGTAAACACTGGAATTTTAAAAACAACTTTATTGAGATATTATTTATATATCCTAAAATTCTAGTAAACTTAGAACCTTTCCGCCATCCCCCAAGCCTTCCTCATGCCATTTACAGTCAATTCTAGCTTCAACTCCACCCGCAGGCATCACTAGTGTTCTTTGTGTTGACTGATTTACCTTTCCTGTACTTTTCATCTAAAAGGAACCATACCGTGTCATGTTTTCTATCTGGTTTTTAAAATTAGAATCCTGATGTTGAAGTCTCTGTATCCTAGTGTGTGTTTTTAGCTCATGTGTTTTACTGCTGAAGAGAATTCTGCTATATGGATGCTCTATGTTTTATTTACACATTTGTCAGCACTGCTTCCAATTTGGGGTATTATGAATATTGCTATTATAAACATCTGTGTACATTGGAGTATGCATCTTTGTGTGAATATATGACTGTGTCTATTTTCATTTCTTTTGGGTAGATGCTAGGTCTTATCATAAGGTTAGCTTCTTAAGAAATGGCCAAAATGTTTTCCACAGTGGCTGTACCATGTCACATGCCCACCAGCAAGATAATAGGATCCCAGTTTCCCTGTGTTCTCACTGTTACCTGTTGCCTCCTTTTTGATTATAGACACTCTGGTAGGTATGAAGTAGTATGTCATTTTGATGCTTAGCATCTTTTCGGTGATTGGCCATTTCTGTATCTCCTTTGGTGAATTTTTATTAAGATATTTTCACCATTTTTTTGTTCGGGTTGTTTGCCTTTTTATTGAGTTATGAGAGTTCTTTATATATCCTGGATACAAATCCTTCATCAGTTTTATGATTTGCAAATATTTTCTCCCAGTCTTTGGCTTTCTTTTCATTTTCTTAGTGGTGTGTTTTGAAGGGTAATTAAAAAAATTTTGTACAAGTTTTGCATTTCTTATGCTACATTTCTAACTGTGTGTTTTGTTCTTTTTGATGGTATTTTGAACCCAATTGTTTTTTTATTTTATATTCTAAATGTACATTGCCATTATATAGAATACCATTAATTTTTTATATTGGTGTTGTGACCTTGCTGAACTCATTAATTAGTCTATCAGTTCTTTTTGGATTCCTTAGAATTTTATTTTTTTGGGGGTGGGGGGTGGGGAAGGGGACAGTATTGGGGAATTGGGGAGGGGGACCAGCCAAGTTATTGTTCTTCAATCTTAGTTGTGGAGGGCACCAGTCGCCATCTGGCTGCCCATCGGCAGCTCGTGGCCTCTAAGCTCAAGGTGCTGTGTTACAATCTTAGTTGTGGGTGGGCGTAGCCACCATCCCATGCAGGAGTCGAACCAGCAGCCTGTTGTTAAGGGCACACGCTCTATCCACTGAGCCATCCACGTGGCAACTCAGCTCAAGGTGCCAAGTTCAGTCTTTAGTTGCGGGCCAGTGTAGCCCACCATCGAACAGGCAGTCTTGTTAGGAGCATGTGCTTTCACCAGCTGAGCCATTCTGCCACCTATTGGCAGCTCAGCGGCAGCTCAGCCCATGTGGGAATCGAACCAGCAGCCCTGTTGCTCAGAGCTCATGCTCTTAAGCTAACTCTTAACCAACTGAGCCACTCGGCCGGCCCTCGAATTTTCTTTTATGTCATCTGCAAATAAAGACATTTTAGTCTTTACTTAGTCTTCCTTTTTCTGATCTGGATGCCTTTAACCAGCTCACATTCTCTGTCCCCCAACCACTTTCCTGATTTTTCTTCTCTTTCTTTCTTTCTTTTTTTGTCTCATTGGCTAGAACCTCCAGTTCATTGTTGAATAGCACAAACATCCACAACTTGCTCATGGTCTTAGGGGAAACGTGTTCAGTTTTTAATCTTTACATATAATGCTAGCTGGAGGCTCTTTATCAGGTTGATATGGTTCCAATATATTCCTAATTTGTTGTGAATTTTTTTTATCAGAAATGCATATTGCATTTTGTCAAGTGCATTGTCTGTATCTATTTGTCCTTTTCTGTGTTCTGTTTTTGAATTTCTGATTTTACACTGGGTGTTTGTGTTTCTAGAAGCCTTCTCGAGCATCTTTAATTCTGTTTGAAATGTGGACATGCAGTTTTATTCTACTTCATGGATGTTTTCGGAAGGGAATTTTCCTCAGTTGATATATGTGAAATTTCAGTTCCTGATGTTTTCTTGCTGGCTATGTATGCATGACTTCACTTTTTCTCGTAAATTTAATGCTATTGGGTTTGCTTGTTTTTAAAAACAATTTCTGTTTAATGGCGCCCTCTTCTGTTGGCAGAGCAAATTTGCATGCTTTTGACTTGCAGGCCCCACTCTGCCTCCTTTCCTGCTTTTCACCTTAACCAGTCAGTTGCCAAAAGCAGCTTCTCCCCTCCCCTGCCCCTACCTCCTGCAGCCGGGTGTCCCCAGGAGGGCCACACCAGCCTCCTGCCCATTGTGGAGCCTGGCTGGGACCCGTGTCCAGAGTTGCCCCCCCATGATCCTGCCCCAACGCCCTGGGTCCTCCTGCCCCCTCTCTGCCTCCTGGGAGAGGGGAGCTAGCGGGCTAGGTTTGGTGCTATGTTCTCTCTTTATTCATGGTTATCTTGCACTTTTGGTGTTCTCTGTCTTCAGGTTGTGGGGAAAGCATGGTTGTGTATAGGGTGTATTTCCCCTTCTTGTTTCTTTACTTTTGGGGGAAGAAATTTTGGAAGTCAGGCAGTTTGATCCGTTACTGTCCTTGTCCTCAGCTACTGGCATTACCAACTTCTAAAAGGAAACCACTATCAGACAATGAACAGGTTGAGTAGGGCGGCCGCAGGCCAAACATGCAGAGGTCCGAGCAGTGTCACAGTGTCCGACCCCAGCGGACTCCACAGTACAGACAGGGTGGGTGACGGCACTGTGATGTCCCCGTGGGTGGGGTCCCATGGCAGTAGAAGGGACTTGATACTCCCTTGTCCTGTGCTCCAATGATCAGGAGACACTTTCCCGCAGCTTCCCTTACTTCCTCCGGTCTCTGTCCCACCTGGGGCCCCACAGGCATGCGGAGACAGCAGCCACCTCCCCCAGGACCTGAGGGTATGCAGCCTCAGCACTTGGGCCATTCATCCTCCCACAGCGACCCCGTAGCACAGCTCCTGGAACTTGTATTGCTTCTGGGTTGCCCATGAATCCTGTTCCTCATGTTTCAAGTGCTTCTGAAGCATTTCCTGGAAAGGTCCCCAGACTTTATGTCACACGGGCTGAGGGTTCCCTCTTGGCTGCTCCCAGGAGACTGCGCCAGCATGCAGAGCAGAGCCTCTGCCTCCCCGGCCTGGGCCCCCACTGGGTCCTGGGCTTCCTCAGCTTAGGGCCTGTGGGTAGTGAAGCCCTGAGCGTGAGCCTGCACGACGCCCACCAGTGGTGTCATTGCTGTCACTCCAGACTCCAGGAGGAAAGGGAAGGAAATGATCTGAAGGAAATGAGAACATGAGCTGTGACTTTGATCCACACCAAAGACGAATGAAGGGAAAGACGAGAGTTTAAGCATATCCAAAGGCATTGTGTTAAAAGCAATGTTTTTGTGCCAGGCAGCTGGCAAAGTACATCCATCGTTCTACAGATCCCCTTGTCAGAGGCTGAGACCAATTTCTTGCAAATGGGAGAGTTTCTGTGCTGCTTGTAATTCTAGGGGAAAAGAAAAAGGGTTTCCTGATACTGTCAAATGAAATATCAACTTAAAATTCCTCTAGAATGAAAAGACACGTTGTTATATGTGAGAAATGTTCCCCAAATATTAAAGATTAATCCCTGAGCATAAGAGTGGCCCAGAGTAATGCAAGTGCCAGTAGTTT